CGCGGCTGAAGGCGTCGGCGATCTCGCCCGTCAGCAGGGTCACCAGGCCGCGGTGCAGGCGTGCGTCGCTCCATGTGAAGCTGGGGGCACGGGGAGGGGGTCAGGACCTCTGCGTGGCCCGAGATCCAGTCCCCATCACCCGTCCCCAACCTGCTCACAGGGCAGGCTGTGTGACCGGGACCTCAGGAAAAGCGGGCCGCCCTCTGGCCTCAACATCCCCCTCTGTAGAATGGGACCACCTTCCCTGTGAGGACAACGCATTAAGAAAGTTAAATGGCCCTAACCGGTTTGGCTCAGTGGATAGAGCGTCGGCCTGCGGACTGAAAGGTCCCAGGTTCGATTCCGGTCAAGGGCATGTACCTGGGTTGCGGGCACATCCCCAGTGGGAGGGGTGCAGGAGGCAGCTGGTCGATGTTTCTCTCTCATCGATGTTTCTAACTCTCTGTCCCTCTCCCTTCCTCCCTGTAAAAAATCAATAAAATATATTTTAAAAAAGAAAAGAAAGTTAAATGATCATCTGAACTCAGACTTGACTTTAAACCTGGGCTCTGCCGGTTCCCACAGGGGTGCCTCGGCTTCCCCCTCTGAAACGAGATGGGGTTCCTTTTCTGACGCCCACGGGGACTGTTTTGAGACGCGGCTGCTTCCTGTGGTGACCCCCATGTGTTAAGCGCTGGCTGTGTGCCAGGCTCCGGCTGCGCCTGCTCCGTGTGCCCGTTTGCTCAGCTGGAAGCTGGAGCTAAAACGCAGGAAGATTCGAGGAGAGAACATGGGTTGAGCTCCCTGCACGGTGCCCAGCGCTAGAGGTCTGGGATCTGCGGTGAGCTGTGCCCTTCCCAATCCTGCCACCACAGCGGTTGCTATCTAAAGCACTGGTCTTGCCCTGGCCGGTTTGGCTCAGTGGATAGAGCGTCGGCCTGCGGACTGAAGGGTCCCTGGTTCGATTCCGGTCAAGGGCATGTACCTTGGTTGCGGGCACATCCCCAGTGGGGGGTGTGCAGGAGGCAGCCAATCCATGTTTCTCTCTCATCGATGTTTCTAACTCTCTATCCCTCTCCATTCCTCTCTGTAAAAAATCAATAAAGTATATTTAAAATAATAATAATATTTTAAACACTGGTCCTGCACACAGTAGGTGCTCAATAAATGCCCTCTTTGGGATTAAATAAACCTGGGCTCTACTCCTGGCTCTAGGGCCTTGGACACGCCACGTTCTCCTCCTGAGCCTTGGTTTGCTCATCTGAAAAATGGGCTCGCAGGGGCACCTGGCAGGCGCGGCTCCCGGCACCCAGCAGGGCCGACGACCGAGTGGCCAGGACGGTAAAGGCTGGGCCATGCGTTCTTACCTGGGCGGGGTGGCTGTGACCTCGCCCCCTGGCAGGTCAGCGGGCCAACCTGCCCCTCAGATTGTGACACCCTCCCCCACCCATGACCTCACCCCCAGAGTGGCCAGTGGAACCCTAGGGGGCGTCTGTGAGGTCACCCCATTCCGCTCCACAAAGACTGGTCGGGCAGCAGCCGCTGGCTGGTCTCTGTCCCTGGAACGCTTCTGAGACCCTGGGACTAGAGACCGTGGTCACGACCAAGCTCCTGAGAGGGACGCGGAGGGTTGGGACCCAAGGACCTCCAGCTGCTGACCCTGGGAGGCCAGAGCCAGGGGCAAAGGCCTCGTGGGCATGCGGAGGTCCCTCAGCTGTCCCGGGAGGCCCCCGACGCCCAGGGCCCGGCTCGGGCCCTGTCGCCACCGCCAGGCCACCGTGGTCCCCGGCCGGCTGCTGCTGCTGCTGCTGCTGCTGGCTCTGCCCCCCGGCACGACAGGGGCCAAGGACTGCATGTTCTGTGAGCTGACCGACTCCTCCGACTGCCCCGGCATCCCCATGACCTGTGGCGACGACGAGGAGTGCTTCCTGGGCCAGGGGACAGCCCCCGACCTCGGCCCCGTCATCAACAAAGGCTGCCAGGAATCCACGAAGTGTGGCCGCCAGGAGCCGGTCACCTACCAGGGCGTCACCTACAGCCTCACCTCCAAATGCTGCGAAGGCAACCTGTGCAACGGGGCCCCCACTCCCGCAGGCGGCCTGCGGGCGGGGGCCACCACGGGCCTGGCGCTGGGCGCCCTGCGGCTGCTTCACGGACCGTGACCAGCGCGGAGGGCAGGACCCGGGACTGGTCTCGGGCCCTGCTGCTCCTTATGCCCTTGCCTGCTCCCCCCTTCCCCCCATCAAAGGCCAGAGGTCCTAGACAAACCCCCCGTGGCCCTGGCTTCATCCATTCTAGGCTGTCCCCCCTCCCCTCCCCTCCCCTCCCCTCCCCCGCCCCGCCCCAGGACCCAGGGCTCCGCCACACCACAGCCTGACTTGGAGGTGGGACCGCGCCCCTGGGTTTGGCTGTAATATTGCATTCCATTGCTTCTAAGACGCCATATCTTTCCCCAATTTGATCAGGATGCTCCCTTTCATTGTGGTCCCTTAGAGTCCATGCAATCCGGTCAAAATAATATTAATAAACAACAGCTGATGTGTAGGAAGCACTTGTTATGTTCCGCGCCAGGGACCATTCTCCCACTGAATCGCGTGTGAAGCTGGGAAGGCAGATTCCCTCTGGAACGTTTCAGTCCCGGCCCAGGTGGTTCTCTAGGTGTGGTCCGCGACCAACCGGAACTTGCCGGCAAGGCCAATCCTCGGGCCCCAGCCCAGGCCGGCTGGATGGGGGTGGGGCCCAGAAATCTGGGTTGTAACGAGTCCTCTGGGTCAGCCTGAGTCATGTTCAAGGCTACACACCTGGGTCTTTGGCAAAGGTTCCTAACAGGGGATGCTACCGACATCTACTGGATGGAGGCCAGGGATGCAGCCGGCAATGCCCAGGAGAGCTCCCGGACACAGCCCTCCGGCCCCAGACACGGGCAGTACCTTCGCCGTGAAACCTCACTCTATAAAGCAGGGGTGGGAGACCTTTTTTCTGCCCAGGGCCATTTGGATATTTATAACATCGTTCTCGGGCCACACAAAATTCTCAGCTTAAAAATCAGCCCGTCCCGTCCTGTGTGGCTCAATGGTTCCGCATCGACCAGGAGGTCACGGTTCGATTCCCGGTCAGGGCACAGGTCTGGGTTGTGGGCTCAATCAATGATTTGATGCTTTGGTGTGCAGGAAGCAGCCGATCAAGATCAATGATTCTCTCTCATCACTGATGTTTTGATCTCTCTCTCTCTCCCTCTCCCGCTCTCTCTAAAATCAGTAAAACCTTTTTTTTTTAAGAATCAGCCTGCTAGCCTGGCCGCCGTGGCTCTGTGGTTGAGCATCGACCTATGAACCAGGGGATCACGGTTCGATTCTCGGTCAGGGCACATGCCCGGGTTGCGGGCTCGATCCCCAGTGTGGGGCGTGCAGGAGGCAGCCGATCAATGATTCTCTTTCGTCATTGATGTTTCTCTCTCTCCCTCTCCCTTCCTCTCTGAATTTAAAACAGAAACAACAACAAAAATCAGCCTGCTATATTTGGTCAAACATTTAATTAACTCTCCCCTAATGCCTTGTGGCAGGGCCAAATCAAATGATTTTGAGGGCCTTCTATGGCCCGAGAGCTGGACGTTCCCCACCCCTGCCCTAAACTCACTCAGCGTGTCATTCCGGTGAGCAGGGGGCACACAGAGGTGAAGCCAGGCGCCCAAAGTCACACAGCCAGTAACTGGCAGAGCTAGGGCTTAAACTGGGGCCATCTGTGCCCAGATCCCCGCCCCCCGGCCATGCTGTGGCCCAATGAGGTGGTTGCTCATTACCCACGCTTTCCTCAGAGTGGGGGAGGCCCAGGGTCACAGAGCTAAGAAGTTGCAGAGCCAGGGCCCAGGGGCGGTCGGATCCCAGAGAGAGCAGAGGCCGGCCATCCGACGGCCCGAGGACCGAGCCATTGGCACCCCAGGTCTCATTCCTTCCCGGACACTCTGAGAGGCGGCGTTACTCACCCAGGCCACCTGGGACTCCAGGCCTGGCCTCCCGGTTTGGAAAGTCCTACGTACACACTGCAGGCCCCATTCTCCGGAGAGAAAGCAGGTCAGAGAGGTGAAGACTCACCCAGGCCACCAGCGAGGCCAGGAGCAGGACTGGGGCGGGCGCCAGGCCTGGCTCCAACCCTAAGCCCGGTCCCAATGACACCTCCTCTCCCGGCAGGTGTTCAGACCCATTTCACGGATGAGGAGCCAGAGGCTGGGCGGGGATCCGCGTGCTCGGAGACTGGGGACGGGCCGCGGGGTGAGGGCTGTACCTGTAGGACCCTGAGATGACCCTCTCGCCGTCCAGCAGCACGAACTTCTCCCGCACCCCGCCCGTCACCTGCCGGCGCCTGCGGCTCTGGAAACTGCAGCCCCGCACGACGCGGATGTCCAGGTTCTGGGAGGGGGGGGGGGGGACACAGCCTTGCTGAGGCGAACCTCACAGACTTCCACCTGGGGGGTCCTCCAGGCTGCCCGCCCCCCATCACTTTGTGGAGAGTCTGTCCCAGCTTCCCCAGGGCCACCAATCGTGGGATTCAGGGGTCTCCTGGGGGTTCCTCCCACCTGCTTCCCCCAGTGCCATGGGCACCAGATCCCTGGGGACCCTCGCCGCTGGCACCCACCTCGCTGGCCCAGGACCCACCCCGGGGACGGGTCTCCCTCCGCCGCCCCCCGCACCAGGGGGATGGGGGCTCAGGTCCCTTCCGCCAGGCCCTACCTCAGTGGCCCAGGGATTCACCCCCAGCTGCTGGGCCAGGGTCAGGAAGGCAGGCAGCTGCTGGCGGTCCAGGAGCAGGTAGACGGGCACCCAGCGGCGAGTGGCAGCATCCACCATGTCCAAAAGCAGGTCTGGGTCGGTGAATATGTCCATGACGACGGCCACCAGCTGGGGGGCGGGGAGAGGGGCTGTGCATAGAGCCTGGGGCTTGGGGGACCCTCGGAAGGTGGGGCCCTGGCGGTGAGATGCTGGAGGGCTGAGGTTAAGGGCCCGGCTCTGTGGGATGTTCACACAGTGCCTGCACGTGAATAAAGGGCAGAACTCCCCTGGAGCCCCCGGCTCGGCTGCGCCACTGTCATCATGTCAACAGTGGTGAACGGGGTCCCCGAGCTGGGACGCTACACGGTGGCCCTGCTCCAGGCGTGGGCTGGGTGCCTGTGCAGCGCAGTGCACTGTGGGAACCTGCACACCTAGGTCCTGGGGGCGCCCTTGAGCCAGGGGCGGAGGGGGGGCTGATCTGCTGGGTCAGTAAGGGGAGCTCTGGGGCTGGGCGGCTGCCAGGGACCTGGGTCTTGCAGGCAGAAGGTGTGGGGATGAGCCCTGAGCCCTGATTCCTGGTTCAAGTCTCTGCTTGGCCACTCCAGGCGAGACTTAACGTCCCCTGCCTCGGTTTCCCCATCTCCTAAATGGACGTAGTGAGTCCCAACCTCACAGGGCCCTTGTGAGAATTACACGTTAACCCAGGTAAGGTACTTGGCATGGGAGCTAGCAAACACCAAACCTTTTCAATAAAAAGGGGCCGGCCAGGGGGCCGCAGGAGAGACAATCGGGCCCTCCCTGGGGGCGGGGGAGGGGAGGGTCGATGACTGAGACAAGAGGGATCATAATTAGGCCCAAGGGGCATGGATGTGTAAGGGCTGAGGATGGGGACCTTCATATCTAAGAGGCCGAGGACGGGGTCTGGGGGTGTGGACTCCTGGGTCCAGACGTGTGAACCTGACAGTCCCCGGAGGGCCTGGGTGCGAATCCCTGGCCCAGGGGATGGCACTTCCGGGCCGGGAGCTGCAGGGAGGATGTCTGGGTCTGGGGAATGGACTCCAGGCCCCCCAGGCCCTGCCCCCACCTTGCTGGCGGCCTGGATTTCCTGGTGCATCAGCTCCTTGAGGGGCGGGTGGCCCTCGCCCGGCGGCTGGGTGTACAGCTGCGCCCGGGTGATGCCCTTCCAGCCCGAGTCCTCCGGCCAGCCCAGCCGCAGCACCGGCACCGGCTCCTCCGACTGTCCCGGCCAGTAGGTCAGGCTGCGGGGGTCCCCATCGGCCACGGCTCCCTCGGCGCTGCCGGGCTCCTCCTTGGCCGCCGTCCAGTCCTCAGCCGCGGCGGCCAGGCCCTGGAGCTCCGCCCGGCTCAGGAAGGGCGGCAGCCCCTCGCGCTGCACACACACCTCGAAGGCCTCTGCGCCCCCACTCAGCAGAGCCTCGACCGCCAGCCGCTGGCCCTCGGAATACAGGAAGCCCGGGCTGGTCTCCGTCAGGGGCGGCTCCCCGGCCACCGACGCCACTCCTTCCAGGGCTGCCAGCTGCGAGGCCGCCATGGGGCTCCCGGGGCGGACCTTGAGGCTGGGTGTCTGAGGGTGTGGCCGTCTCCCAGGCACTGACCATCAGGGTCTCCTTTCAGCTTCCTATGCCAGGCTTGCAGGGCAGCTGAGGAATCCAGTGGCTCGCTGTGCTGTCCTGACCATCAGGCTGCGCAGATGAGCGGCCGACTGACGCTGCTCAGACCCACTGGCCGCCAGCCTGCAGCCGCCATGGCTGGCCGGCCATCCGACCTTGCTGTCAGCTGTGTGACGATCTGGCTGCCCCCACAAGTGGTCCTGCATGTGGGTTTGGCTGAGCACCTGGCACTGTCTCCGAACTCGGTGACCTGTCAGCTGCCCATCTCTGCTCCGGCACACGCTCCTCCAGCCTGCTGGCCACACGGTGCCCCACCGGCCCTCCCGCTGGCTCAGGCGCGGTCAGGCCGACCACGGACCTGTCCTGGTCCAAGGCCCACTACTGCCCGGCCATCTCCAGGCAACAGGCTACCTGCCTGGCTGCCACCACCTGAATGTCTCTCACCAAAGGGAGAACAGGCTGCCTGTGTGCCCCCGGCCGACAGCACGTCTAACTGACCCTCTGGCCGTCCCTTCGATTGGCTGGAAGACCAACAGGGTCAATGCCTGACCACCCCGTGGAACTCCCCGCTGTGTCCCGGAGATGCTTCTCCCGACAACTGGCCAGCTAGCTCACAGCTCTCACCGGCCGACCATTCTGGACCCTCCTGAGCTCTGGAGAAATGTACTCCAGCCCTCAGCCTGGGCATCGCCCTCCTCAGCCAGGAACTCGGTCTCCCCAGTGGGTGGGCCTTCACACCCGCTCAGGCTGCTACAGTGGGGAGAGCACTCCACAGGGGGTCTCATTATTGGCTCATGACCTCCTCAACCCCTCTAGCCTGAGGGCAGCCTAGATAGGGCCACGGCTCCTGGGACTGGGTGTCCCTGCCTGTCCTCTGATCTATGCTGATCCCTGGTTCTGGGGCCTGAATTCCACTATCTCCTGCTAGCTGACTGCTACTTATGCCTAATGGAAGTTGGACAAGGACCACTCTACATCATTTGAGGCTCCTGACCCAACCTGTGGACCCCAATTCACGCAACCCCGCCTTCCAATCCCAGCACCCAGATGCCCCCTTCCTCCAGGGCACAGCGACTAGCCCTGCAAGAGAAGGAAGAGGAATAAAGCCAGGTCCCCTCTCCCTCCTGTCCCAGCCAGCTCGCCACCCCCTGCCCCTCCTCTTGCCTTTTTGGGAGGACAATATGATCCGGGTCTTCAAACCTGAGCTGATTTCTGCTTCTTCCTCCGGCCGACTGGCCTCATTCATCAGGCTTCACCCTGGCATCCTGGGAACCCAGCCCCTTGTGTAAACACAGGGAGGGCCCATGCAGGTCCCCAGGGGAGGCCTGGGGTGTGGGGCCCAGGGTATGAGGTCCCAACCTGGGAGCACTCACCAGGCTGCTTCCCCAGAGGCCAGCGGCCCGCCAGACTCAGGTTTCAGGAAAGGGGGTGCCTCACCTGTCCCCACAGCAGCCCCACCTCCACACTTTCCTGTCCCAGACTGCCCAATATCTTTAGGGCAGGGGAGGGGACCACGGGTCCTTTAAGAGGGGTGTGGCTAATCCCAGGAAGCAGGTGCAGGAACACCTGACACCTGGCTCTTGGGAAGGAGGCGGGGCTTCCTCAATAGTGGGCTGCAAGGGTCCAACAGGCGCAAAGGCCCGGAAGCAGCTGAGCACAGACCTGACCGCCAGAGGGCGCCTGCAGGCTGAGGCGGAAGGAACACCTGGGCGGAGGAGGGGCTAGTCTCCATGGAGACCTGCGCGGGTGTCCAATTCCCCCAAACAAATGCCTCCTGGCCCACAGGCTCACCTCCCAACTCCACCCCCCAATAACACACACGGGGCCATCAGCATCCAAAACCTCTTTAATAACATGATAGGATTTAGGGTCAGTTTTTGTAGCCGCGGCTGGCCCGGCGGCCTCTTGCACGCTCGAACTTCCGGCCCTTGGATCGCACGTAGGGTCTGTGGGGAAGAGAAAGGAGGTCAGGGCCATAGTAGCTGGGAACTCCGCCAGGACAGCTGGCCTCTAGCAGAGCAGCAGACACCAGTGGGGGCCTCAGTAGTGATACCAACTGGGCAAGCCCGGCAGTGCAGGAAGCCAAGATGGCAAAGTGGGTGGTGAAGCCAGCACCAGGCCCTGGGGGTCAACCTGAGAGCCCGGGGGCGGGTAAAATGCTGACCCCACCTGGGAGATGCCAACTCGGCCTAAACCAGCTGCCCCTTTAACACCAGCTGCACAGGGAGCACAGCTGAGTCTGGAAGGTAAGTGGGTAGGACGAGGCGGGAGCTGTAGGGAGGCCTGAGGCTGGCTGGTGTGAGAAACAGATGCATGGCAAGGCCGAGACGGCACTGGGGGGTCAGGTCTGAAGCACAGGCCGGCATACTCACTTGGTGTGGCTGTGGGGGGTCCCCGGGGCCTTGCCGAAATGCCTGTACACCTCGCGGCCTTGCGAGGACCTGGGGAGGGAGGGAAGGGGCAGATCAGGCAGAAACCCAGCACCCAGAGCTCCTGCTACGAGCCCTTTC